TATAGGAACAAAGGTGGAGGGGGGAAGGAAAAAAAAAAAATAAAGACAAAGGCAAAGGTTCAGGTCAGTGGAATACCGGTGCAGGGGTCTGCACTTCTGCTACAATTGTGATGAGGAAACCTGGCTCTGTGTTAATGCTGCTGCAGGGAGGGACAGAGAACGCGTGGGTGGGCACAAGGTGCTCTGAGTGGGCAGGAGGGGACGGGCGGTCCCTTCGCTCCTTTTATCGGATCTGTCAGCTCTTGTATCTCTCACTGAAAGAGCATAGAGCTTTAAGGAAAAGAAATGTTTGGTCAAAGAGACTGTGGTTCTGTATTCACGAGTGATGCCAGGAGTTCACACTTCATTTTAAACATCTGAACAAAATACTTTTCCTTCTGGTATTTCCAAGACCATTTGAAATCAAAACTAATAGAAATGCATTTACATTTCTGTCTAAGGGTGTTAGGGAACATTTTCATATTCTGAAAGGTGATGGGAATAGTGAGAGAAGGGGCTCTTTCATGCTTGTTTTTGAATTTAGGCAAGTTGTCTTCACCAGGGTCACCATGCAGTGTGGTAACCTTTGAGGCAACAAGGTCTGGGACATGAAGGCTTGCAAAGATCGGGCCGGGTCACAAAATGTGCTTGAGATCATTGGTAGCTTTGAAGCGTTCTCAAGCATTCTCACAGAGATCCATTCTCAAATATCTTATAGACGTTTCCTGAAGTATTCTGATTTTTCTTGATAAACATTTTTCACTAGATTTTTCTATTTGGGAGAAAAGCATGTATCCGTGGTTGTAACTTCAGGCTGAAAGAACAGAAGAATGCAGTGAGCTGCTCTGTTCCAGCTGTGCAATTGCTTAAGCTTGCAGTGGAAATAATTGTGCAATGTAAAGAGTGGGCTCGGGCTCCGTGAGAGCTAAAGAGCTTGTCACTGTCAAGACAACCTTTTACCGCTGACAGCAAGCAATAATAGATGACCAAGTGAACTTTTGCTAAATACTCCACTGAATTTTTTTTTTTTTTTTTTTAAAGACAACATTTTTTGGTGTGCTTGTTAATTTTAAAGGCACTCTTTTTTAGGATATTTTTCAGCCTTGACTTGAACTCTTGCTAGCCTGAGTTAGCTTGAGCAACACTCCATGTCAGATACTTCTGTGCTTTTGCGCCTCAGTGAAAGGGAAGGGTGACTCCAGGCTTCTTGGTGTGTGTGTGTGTGTGTGTGTGTGTGTGTTAAGAGCATGAATTAATCCATTTTGTTAGAAGTAGAGTTTATTATTTTTCAGCTTAACCATATTCTGTTACCTGTGTTGGACTGGTAAGGCAGGATGTTAGAGAAGCCCAGTGGAATTGGGAAGAGAAGTTCATTTTCAGGGCAGATTGTTTATTTTTTTGGTACAATTCCTGTGTTTTAAGGTCAAGGGCAGGTAAGAATTACAAAGTTAAAGTATTGGTTTGGAAGTCAAATGAGCAGCCAAAGAAAAGCCATATACTAGCACCTGTCCCATTTGTGAAAAGCTCCATTATCCAGCTCCTCCACAAATCCCATGTTACATAAAGCTGTTGATCCCTTTATGTCTTTAAGTTTTTGCAGCCTTGCTATAGTTTCATATAAAACTTGTGACACCAACAGAGGAAAACTATTAAGTGAGACTGATTGAAGTTACAGGGCTGAATTTCAATCCTGTTCTTATCTAGGGAAGCATGGTCGTACTGATTAGAGAGTCTGTTCAGTCCACTTGAATCTACTCCATGGACTCTGTCCTTTGTTATGTTTGTTTGTATCTACCTACCAACATGTGTTTTGAGATAATTTCTTCCCATGGGCACTGTGCATACAGTGGAAGAAAAGGTTTTGTGAATGCAAGTGGAATCCAAGGACCATAACCAAACTTGCCACTCTATTTGCCCAAGTTGGGCTTTTTCTGTACAAAATACTTACCATTACTGCTGTTTGTGAGAAGTAGAAAGGATGACATCATAGTTCTTCAGCATAACAAACTTTTACCACATTTTTAAGCTAAGACAGAAATAGAATAAATTTATCATAATCTCCAGTAATGTCTAGAGAAAATGTAATTTATTGCTTTTTTTAATGTCAGTTCAGTTGGATTTTCCTATCTGGATATGACTGAAATTCATGATAAATTGTGTTATCTTATGAATACAGTGTGATTAGTTAAGGGATATCTTTAGTAAACTGCAAGTCGTCATCGTGTCACATTTGACAGAGGTGTTCAGACATACAAAGTGGGATCAACTGTTCCAGGCTGAGCCCAAGACGGGGTTGATCCTGTCTTTGGCTCAGCAGATTAAACACAAGGTACTATGCCATTGAGAGTACACAAACAGCTTGATTTCCAAATCCCTTTTTAAAAAAAAAAAAAAAATCCAAAACAAAACCAAAACAACAACTGGTGTGTGTGTAAAGATGGCAGTTCTCCCTTTCTGCTCTGATCCATTTGTATTTTAATTTCAGAAGCTGTACAGTAATTCAAATAGACACTGCAAAATAGTATTTTTTTTCAGAGTGCTGTATATAAACTGTGCAGATATTAGGAAGAGATTGTTGCTCATTACTTCATTTAAAGTTCAGTCAGATGGTTTAATTTAAGACTGGGATCTTTTCCATGTTCTTGCTTTTATTCTCATTTGTTTAGGACTGATTATATAGCCAGTTATGCCACAATAACAAACTGGGCAGTGTATAATGAAATCTAAGACAGCTATTAATGTTAGCATGTATTAAGTGGAAAATATTGAGAAGTCTTTTTCAGCATTAGATTGTTGGTTTTTTAGTTTTCAAAGTCCAGACAGATTCTTTTTTTCTTTTTAAAGTGATTTTAAACACGTATTAAGTACACTGTGCATGATGGACAAACGGATAAAGAGGAGCCTAAAGAAGCGAAATGGTTCTTAGTTTTGAAAAATGGCCTTTCCCTGGCTTGCAAGCATCCTGACACGTTTTCTAGCTATAGGGAAAAATACAAAGGTGGCAATTGGTAGAGAATAAACGTATCAATATATTCAATTTAGAGCCAGTCACCTAGTTTGCAAAAGCCAAATAGTTTGACATCATGCTAGTGGAAATGACTCTGCCTTGCTGGGGCACTCACCTTCCATTGCTGAGGACTGACGCCTGGAGTCCTTGGGGTCTGCACAAGCAGGACATGACAAAGAAGGAGAATCTATACTAATTGCAGGTTTTGAGGTCTTATCTTTCCAATTTACCCATCTGAACTTTTTTCAAGCTATACAACCGGAAACCAAGCATGCAATCAATCAGTGGCCCTGTCAATGGAAATTCAGAAATACTTGGGTTTGTCAACCCCTGCTGATGTTGGCACGTTGTCTGTTTTTACCCCTGTGAAAACTAGCTCAGCTTCATCGTTATGTCCTATAAAAATGCTCCCCATTTCTTGGTGAATGAAAGCTTAATTACAAATGCTTTATCCAACAGGAAGACGTGACAGGAAAAAGCTCATAACCATTTGCATGGAACCAATAGGGAAGTGTAATTTGACAGCAAGAAGTATTTTATGCAAGTATTGCTGGGTTGGTTTTTTTTGTAGGCAGGATGGTGAAGGTAGATTATCACTAGGAATCTAATAGATTTGGTATAAGACAACATATAACAGAGTTATTTGGTCTTCTCCACGGTGTGTGCTATAAAAGGGTGTGCTATAACTTTTGAAGTGCTCTGGAAGATGTGCAGTTGAGAACATAAAATAAACCAGGGAAGCTGGTATTGTTACAAGTTTTAGACTTCTTTGTTGTAAAATAGTTTCTGTGCAAGAATGATGGGTTTGTTCAGTTGCTCACAGTCATCCTGCAGTTTGTAGTTCAGAAATAAATGAGAAAAAAATACATTTAAGACCTGCAGGTAATCAATAGGACAGACTGTGATGTGGTTCTGACAGTGTGTCATATAGTTCCAAAACAAATACTGTAGGATGAGATAATTTTACTTACTCCTGTAAAAACAAAATGTAGCATCCTTTTGCAGTGTGATGCTGACTGTATCTCAGAACACCCAAGATCCCTATAAAATCCTGACTACACCCCTAAAGGTCATTTATGGAGGTCGCCTCTTTTTGCCTCCCACACTCCCTAGAGAAATTCTGGTTTACCCACTCCTTCATGGCCACCCACCCGCAGATCAGCTGAGAAATCATACTTTGTTAAGAAAAACCTTTGTTAAGAATGTTATTTTTGTTCTTTGTTCTCGTTCCTTCGTTTGAAAGATGTCTTTTGTTCTCTGCGGTTCAAATACCATAGTTTAAAAATACATAATTTGCGGCATATAGAAACCAAAATGGAATATATCTGAGCTGAATTTAAAAAAATGAGATTGGGGACTTGTTGTCATTTATATACATGTATTTTATTTTGATCTGTGTTTCAAGAAGTAAATTAAAATTAATCTGATCATCAGAACATTTTTAAACAAGCACTTTTAGATGGATCAACTGTTCTTTGGGTTTTGAAGCCTATAGGGGATTTATCTGCAGTTGGTGAAGACTGTGTGTTTAGAGTAAGCATTAATTAACAGTAATTCTTAAATCTATACCTTTATATACAATAGGAATATAAACATTCCTGTAATAAGCTGTCAAAAGTTGAATGCCTTTGGCTGTGAGGAGTAGTATCTTGGATCTGCGTTGATGTAACAGTAAAAGCCTCACTCAGTGACGTTGTTGTGTGCTGCTGACATCGTCACACCCTTGGTGTAACCTGCGCAGTTTATCCCACTTAGTCTTTGCCATAATCATTAACAGAATTATGAATCTCATAAGGCAAAAGGCAGCGAACATCCAGTATGGGGATCTTTCCATATGCCTACCATGTCCCCTGGGAAACCCACATGATTTAAAGCAACTGTTACCGATAGACAAGTTTGCTTGTGTTTCTTTTTAACGGTCTTTGGGCTTGCATCTGTTTTAGGTTAGGTGGCTCATAATGCCTTTCTGACTGTGGTTGTTTACAAGCTGCTTTCTGCATCGCTTTCCCTGCAGGTGTTGCAGGGCGCTCAGCTGATCGCTGTTGCTTCTGCTGAGCCTGCGTCGGGGGGTGTTGACGGATCCCCGCTCCAAGGGAGTGATATCCAAGTCCAATATGTGCAGCTGACACCGGTGACAGACCACTCTGCGACTAATCAAGTATGTATAAATATATCTTTTTGACTTTTGAATGTACTTAGCTTGATTGAAACATCTGCCAGATGAACTATATAGCTATCCACCAATACAGCAGTCCCAATGAATTTATGATCCCGTTTCCAAACAGTAAAAAAAAAAAAAAAAACCAAACCCCACTATAATAGGAAACAAAATTTTGCTAAAGGTACAAATGGTCTTTGACTATTCCTAATTCTGCGTTCTTGCTCAATGCCCCTAGAGAGTAGTTATTTTGGTCATCATTGTTTTTCTGCATCCCTGAAGGCTGAGAGCCATGTTAAAGGACAGAGCAAAAAACTTGGAATCTATCCAGAAAATATTTTTCAGACTGAGGTTTCTTTTAAAAATGTTATTCCCTTTCTGACAGCAGTTTTCCAGTTATTTTGATCAACAGCCTGGATTTCCCACAGGAGTCACAATGTTAGCAATTGTAAGTGAACACTTGATCCTCTCAGTTATGGTAGAGGAATTACCTTTTTTTTTTTTTTCTCCCTTTTAAAGCAGTTTGAATAGTCGTGTACCTCAGTCTAGAAAAAGTTGCTCATCAGCTTGAAGCTATGACTGGTGACAGCACAAGAATGTTGACCTCAACCATTTGTCAGAAGTTTTTCTGAAGATGGCTACGCATTCTTCCGTGAACCCCACTGTAGTGGGCTTCTTTTCTAGAGAATGCCAAGTGGTTGTGAAAAATAAGCTGTTGCTTGCTAGCTGAAATATGATGGTATCCTTAGCAGCCAGTATTAGAGTGGGATTTTGTCTGATATATATCCCGCTTTGTAGAGATTTCTGATCTGGTTACAAACATTTGGATATTGAGTCTCTTGAAGGGGAAAAAAAAAGAAATAAATGCATGTGAAATCAAGGGAATCTTGTCCAAACTTTCTGTGCACAAAACTCAGTTGCCGAAGTGCCGTCTGTGCTGGCTGGTGCTGGGAGGGAGGCCAGAGCTCTGAACAAACCAAGTTGCTCTGGTCCACACTGGCTCCTCACCTGGATGCTACAAAGTGCTTTTCAGAAAAATTATGCTCCCTGCCAAAAAGGACCAGACTGCCTGGCATGTGAGTGTGCTGTGCTGCAAGATTACGTTCTAGTTTTCTGTACACAGATCTTCCCGTGTAGACGAGCCCTTAATAGTCTTTTTTTTCCCCTCTTTGCTAGATTTGTGTCCGCACTACCCTTCTCAATATTTTATTCATAGTCACTTGTAATCGTACGCTGGACAGTAAGAGGGTTGCTACAGGAATCATGCATTATTTCTTATAAACCCTTGAGTACTGCTGGTTTTTTCCCCTCTTTGCTAGATTTGTGTCCGCACTACCCTTCTCAATATTTTATTCATAGTCACTTGTAATCGTACGCTGGACAGTAAGAGGGTTGCTACAGGGATCATGCATTATTTCTTATAAACCCTTGAGTACTGCTGGTCCCATGCAATTAATAAAGCATAGAGGCATCAGGTCGTGCGAGGTGTTTCTCGTGCTGTTGTCCTCGGTCCAGGCCTGGGAAATTCTCAGATTTACCTCCCACAGACTTTCTCCTGGGTCTGTTCTTGTGTCTGTCCTCCCTTCTCAGCTAGCACCTCTGAGGGGCAGGAGGTTCCAGAGCTCGGTTATAAACATCGGCAGCCATCTCCCCCACGACTGGCAGCTACCAGAGGAGTTACTTTTCTCTTCAGGGACACTTTGCACCGTGTTAGGTTTTAATATTGTGGTTAACCACAGAGATTTATACAAAGCTGAGGAGAAGCAGAAAAGGAATGTGAAATAAGAAGAGTATGAAAGGAAAAACAGACAAGGCTAAAAATAAGTTTGCCATAAATATTTCCTCAGTTTACACAAACTCAAAACTAAGGATCTGTTAATGAACTGGAGAAACCAACTTGGTATTTGCATTACTCTGAATTATATGGCTAGTTCAACAGCTTGGTTTTTTTTTTTTTTTGGCTAAAATTATGGAATAGTCCTGCATCATCTTAGAAAGATCTCTTATCTGAAGAGAGAAGTCTTATCTCAAGAGAAAACCCTCTCAGTGAGGCTCTAGTGACGCTTTCATCTATTTTCATATGGTTCTTTGTCAGGGTACTGAGATAATTCTCAATGATTTTGTATCTATTTATCAATCAAATCTTATAAAAATTATTATCCGTCTGGGTCTGATGCTATGCCCTACACAAATTCTGTGTTTGAAACACCACAAATGTGAATCTACTTCATGTCTGAAAACAAGATACCAGTTTTCTGACCTTTCTTCTTGAAAGCCATGCCTTTGGAAGCAGTCACATATGCAGAGCTGAAGGTAGGAGTGAGGCTATTTGAAATTAATCCCTTCTCTGACTTCAGCTGAAGCAGACAGCACTGTGCACTTCAACAGAGTATTTTCAGTGTATTCATGCACAATTTATATTTGCAAAGTAGCTCTAGGCAGAGGAATTAACAGCTTGAATTCTGACAGTTTCGTAGTGACCCTGAACCCCATATGTAAGCACAAACTACTAATGTATTAACAGTGTTTTGCTGGCAGAAGGTTGCAAATGCACGAGTGGAAGGAGGCATGGTTTGAAATCAGATGCATTTGGGGGATTTAGGTTTAGTTGGCTTGTTTTCATGTCTCGGTAGCATTCTTACAGCAGCTTGCAAAATGTAGAAATACAGAATGTGATGATGACAAAGAATATTTGAATTAATTCTGTGCTCAAAATCGTATGCTGGTGGTAAATTTTGTTATATTTAAAGAAAAAAAAATAAAATCCAAATCTAAAGTGTGTTTCTAATCCCTTTGGGCAGTCTGCTACTTCTGGTCTAAATGGTGGATAAATGTTATTCAATATTGCCGTTGTCACTATTATTTGATAATTATATTACTTTAATACAGTTTTCTTCAAATGGGAAAGAAAACTTCGATGGTCACTTGAAAACTTACCTGCTTTCAAATTTAGCAATCTGATAGAATTATTTACCACTTTGGCACTAATTTATCGAAGATTTAAGTAAACACCAAATTACCTATAAAGTTGAACAGGAAGAAATCCTGTAGCTGTGTGCAGTTACTGGCAACAAGGCACAGAAAGGAAGAGAAGTAATTTGACAACAGAACCTTAATTTAGGAGCAGTGCTTTATAATTTTGAACCTTGAGTATTTTCTTTTGAATAAATAAGTTGCGACTATAGAGTAAAACCTAAAGGATGGAAAATCTAGTTGAGTTTCTACCCTTGAGTCCTTTGTGGATCATCTTGCAGATGTTAGGCTGAGAGCGTAAAGCAGGGCTTCAAGTCAGACTTTTTTATAACAGAAGTCCTGCCCCAGAAATAATTCTGTATCCAGGGTGTTACATAAAGCATCTATTAGATGTATTTATGGAAGGAAAATCCATCAAGGGCAGATCTCTGGAATCTGTGGGAGTGTGCAGGAAAATATCATTAAATGCTTGCCCTTTACTGTAGTTTATCTATGTTTGTGATACTGGCTGCTATCAGGGGAAGGCTTATTGGGTGTGATGGACTTTATCCAAGCCAGTACAGCTGTTCTTAAATGCTATTCATCTTATAGCTCTAAAGATGGACTTTGTTTGTTTCATAATCTAGTTTTCCTTACTCCAACTAACTTGGCTAAAAAGGCAGTTTGCTATGGGATTATCCTTTCACAGCATTGTCAGACTACGGGTAGGCAATACTTTAATTTTTAAGGAGACTTTCTTTGAAAGCTTACGTCGATTGTGTTCACTTTAAATTCTTACACAGAGGACTGGTTTTGCTTGGAAAGTGAGTAGAATCAGGCTGGTAGGAAGAATTTTATTTGAGAAAGAAGTTTGCTGTAATAGCAATATTCGCATTTTACACAAAGTAGAGAAAAGCTGCAGTGGGTAAAGTCAGCAGTTGGAGTCCGTATCCGGCACCAGCTGGGGAAATTCCAAGCACAGGGCAAACAGGTAATTTTACCCTCCTTACCTGCAATAGTTCTGTCACTCTGGGACTTCTTACTGTCTTTCCTGTGCTCACCCTCGGTGGCCTTCCCTCCCGTAACGCTGCGCAGCTCCGTGCCCCGAGCTGTCAGTGCGTACAGCGCGCTGGGACCAGTCCTTCCACAGCTTTGGCACACGTTGTGCCAGGCACAGGGTTTATTTTGGTTCTTTTTAGAGCTGGTTCTTTTTTGGGAAGAGAGAGGGAATAATTGTTTCTGTGTGCTCTTTTGTGAATTTATAGATCCTTATCGTGATTTCATTATTTTAGCCTTTTCTTTCCAGCCTGAAGGGCATTTGTCTGCTTAGTCTTCATGTGAACTCTTTATGTTATTTTTGGTGCCTTTGTAAATGTATTCCCATTTCAACTCTCTCATAGGGCTGACACTCATGCAGATTTTGCACTGGTATATACAAGAACTTTATGTTCACATTCCCTTGGCTACACCAATGGAAATCACTTTTGTATTGATTTACCGATTCCCCGTTTCCTTTTTCAGGGCACTGACACCCTTCAATCAGCCATCCAGCCAGAAATGCAGATAGAACATGGAGCAATCCAGATTCAGTAAGAGGATTGCAAAAAGCTGCGTCAGCCGCGGGGTCAGTGAACCACAGTCAGAAGTTAAGTGCTGCAGTCTCTGTGCAACAACAGGAGAATGGAAATGCCCGTTAGACTAACGGTCACACCTCGAACCTCTCCTGCAAACAGCAGAGTTCTGATGATCTGGCTGTCCTCACCTGGAATAAATCAGACCCACTTACTTAAATTGGAGCTACATCACTACATCAATTGAGGATCTGGCCTTCAGAAAAAAATAAATGGCCTGCCCTTAGGTACACTTAAAGAGGGAAACAAATCTAATGAATCAAAACCCTGAGACTAAATTTATGTTTCATCCTGTTCATTTCTTCTGTGAAATACGCCATTTGAATGTCTGCAGATACCTTAGAAAGTGTATTGCTGCTTTGCAATACTTGCTTTACCACATATAGAAGATCAAGAGCTCAAATATTTTTCACTGTTTAAACAGCTTTTTTTATTTGCTATGGTGTTTATAACAAAAAAGGAAAATATTTAAAAAAAGAAAAATCCCATAACTGCAAGTATTAGCCTTTTGCTGGTGTTTTCTGTTCAGTGTAATGAAAACTGTATTTGCAGAAGACTAACAATTTTGTTTGTACTGTTGCTTAACTACTTTTCTAGGGGAAAATGCTTTTAAATGCTGTAATTATGCATTTCTAATGAAAAATAAATGTGTATTTATGAATAGTGCAGCTCTAAGTTGCTGTCTGCCTTAGGAATGAATACGCTTTAACTGGACTGTGCTGTAAGAGTGTAGTTCTGCAGTATTTGAAGACAGACGCTATCTGGCAAGCTCTGCTGTCACACTGAGAAGTAAGATTAAGTCTATAAGGAAGATATCAATCTTAGATCATGTTATTATCTAAATTTCCAGTGCAAGAAAAATGTGATAGTTAAGCTTTTGAGTCTGCAAACCCTACTTTAGACAATGAAGTTATGAAATATCTTTTTTGAAATGTGAACAATTCTTCTGAGCTCTCTCCCTTATTAGTGCCTCCTACCTCCTTTGTCCGGTCGTTTGTGGCAATGCCTCGGTGTGGGATTCATCCATAAAAAGGTGGGCTGCAAAAGTCTGATACCTGTCTTGTTGTCCAACCCGAGGGGCAAGGTGAAATCCTGTCTCCACTGAAACTTACAGGAAATTTGATTTCAAGAAAGCTACATATTCGTATTTGCTAGGCTTGAATGGAACGGCTACATGTTTACTATTAGCTGATTATCTTAATGGTGCACTTTCTAGAAAAACATGGAGTTTAGTGGGAGGTGTGTTGCTTTGTATTTGCTTTTCATCTGACTTGCTATGTGGTTATTGTTAATCTATGGCTCATAACACATTTAATGTATTAATGAATGGGACATAGCCACAGCTGCTACATGGTTGATTTCAGGATAACTTTTTTTATTTTTTTAATGAAAGGAAGGGTTAAGCACACCCAATTTCTGGGAATGTTGTCCCTGGTAAGTATTATACTTTATGTAAATTCCTACTTCTCTTTAGGATATTTCTTGACGCACAAGTACAATGCGAGCTGAACCACAGCTTATTGAACACGATGTTTGCAACAGGCCAAGAATTTGGCTACGCTTCAGTTTCTTTTTATAATAGTGTTTCTCTGACTGGGCAATGTTTGAAGAGCTTGGCATCCAGATAGAAGCCTAAAAATATAGCAAGGCCTGTACTTTTTAGCATGGCTGTTTAATAATAATTTATCACTTGGAAATGACAGTGAGAAAGCTGGGATGGCAAAGCCGCTGCGTGCTACCACACTCCACTCTCTTGCTGTATTCATATTGGCCACAGAGGCTTTCTTGTCATCTTCAGAAAGTTTCCATCTCTGTCCTGGGCATTTCCTGCTTTTGGGAGGAGCACACGTGCGTTTAAACTGTAGGGTATCTGTCTTTGTATTGTGGTGCAATTAAGAATTCTGTTCTCTTTGCATTTTTCAGCTCAGGTACAAGATGAAATTGAGTTCAGGAGAGGTTTCCTTTAGCCGCTAGACTGCTGCATGCTCAAGTCTCTTCTGCTAAAAGTGATTGTAAAGGGGTATCAATCAGTGACGTAGCATTCGCTAGATTTCTAAAGGATTAAGTCTGCTTCACCAGTGTGGAATGGAGAGCGTACAAATCAATTGGAATAGGTAAGGAGAGCAGCTTAGTAAGATCCTCCACTGCATTCACATGTTAAGACTGAGTGTTCCTCAAGTTCTGAATGTTTCTCAGTGTTATGTCAATGTTTACATTAGTCTACGCTGTGTCACACTATGTTTATTCTTCAAAGAAGAGAAACCTCAACCTTGAGCTGGGTATTCCTGTGAAATCCCCATCCCTGTTCCCTTTCTGTAGATTTTGTGTCCTTGGAAGACTGATGTCCCTGTCCAGGGAAGAAATGTCTTCAAGAATTTTTTTTATGTTTCCTGGATATCACAGGGTGTGTCACGTACAAATAAGTCATTCCCTAGAAGAGTAATTCAGGAATTAATTCCCTTCTAGGAAATGCTTCTGACTGTGAAGAGCCTGTGAGGTTCTGGGAGAAGAGTGCGTTCACACAGAGGTTATTGTAACAATAACATAACAGTAAGAAATCTTAAAAGTATTGTAAGATAACTCAAGAGTGAAAGTCTTGCAGGGGTACTGAGGGCTTTGCCTGGCTCTCTGTCCAGGTAGGTTGGTGGTGTCTCACCGTGGATGTAGTTCTGCCCTTGAAGACTTCGACTGTTTTCAATAGGTCAGCTAGAAATGAGTTCTCACTTTGTCTCCTTCTGTTATCCTCAGCCTCTGCCTTTTTAATAATAAGGATCTTTTCCCTCAGCAAACTTTCTAACATCCTTATTTTAACTGTTCTTTTTTTCGTCGTGCTGCTTTTGTCCAAGAGGCAGAGATTGAGAACATATGACCAAGAGTCTTCAGAGTGACGTTTCTTGTAAGGTTAGACTAGGATCAGCTGCATATTTTATTCGTAATTCATTTTGTGACCTACAGAATACCTTTTCATGGGTTTGATTTTGTTGTGTGTAATAATTTTTAGAGGCACGGGCTGTGGGAGAGGAGAGCCTCTGGTTACCCTAGTTGGCCTCATTGATTATTTTCGATATTAAGTTCACTGTAGCCAGGACCTCACCATTTATCTTGATGTACTGAAATTCTTGACATGTAGTTACGGCTGCACAGGCAGTACTGTACCATTATTAATGACCTTTCAGATCATTTAATCTTGAATCCCACCTGAAAGAGCATCCATCTCAGGAGTTCTTAAGGGTTTCTGTGTCCTGATGTAAAAACTAATCCAAATTCTCTGGTTTGATGGATTGTACAACTAGAAATCGGTCTGAAAAAAGTGAAGGATGTGGGTTAATTCTTTTCTGGTTCTCCTTTCTCTCATTCCTTGTTAGTTTTACATATTTTGTCTTGCAAAACAAAACTATAAAAATGAGCACCCTTCTGTGACTCAAACTGGAATGCCTTCATTAGCTGCATTTTTAGACATTTCAGTATTGACAGTTTGCCTGTAAAGCAAGGAATGCTGGCCAAAATGTTGCTCTAGTGCTTGTCTGCGTCACAGAGATCCTGGCACGTGTGCAGGTATGCTCTGGTGGCCCTGTACTTTATTATCCGTTTCACAGAACCGCTATGGAGTTTCATGTTAGGAAATAGAGTGAGGAAACCAATATCTAAAAAAAAAAACCAAAAACCCAAAAAACAACAAAGAAAATCACTGTAGAATCTCACTCTGCACAAACTTCTGTTGGCAATCAGTATTCCTTCTGAATTCCTAATTATCCAAGTACTGAAAACTTAGAGCTGTAACTATAATTCAACAAAAACTGTTTCCCATTATCAGAAATAAGAATGTTCCTTTCATTCACTGCAATCCCAGAGCGCTTCTATAAGCTCTGCTGATTTAGATGAGTACTCAGCGGTCAAACCTCATTTCCTTGAATGAATCTGGGAATAAGAAAGTCATTCAGTTAGAGTGGGCTTTGGGGTAAACTGAGATTGCTTTTTTAGTGTGCTGGTACAAACAGACATACTTGATTTCTCTGCTAAACAAAGTTTGACATACTTAGGGGTAGGCTTTATACTCCACAAAAATAGGAGTGACTAACCGTGCAGCACGTGGAGGCAAGGGGAGTCGTGCAGAGCTGAAGTTAGAGCTGAGGTTCGTGGGACGCGATTGCCCACGTTCGGTTTGGCCAGTGCAAGGGTTTAACACTCTTCCTCCTTCAGGAGGTGCCAGGGCATTTTTTTTTTAATCAAGTCTCGCTCTTTAGCATGAAAAATTGGATGGAACTGGATGAAAATCTTTTTTTCCTCCTCTATAACTTCACGTGGAAAATTTAATTCAAGAGAAAATATCTCCTTTGTTTGACTTCTTTGCCTTTTTTTAAACTTATGTGAATTCTACTTTTGAAAGCTTTTTCATGTTTGTTTCCTATTCTATTTTTCTAAATTCACATTTCGCAAAGGAGAAATATCCTTCAATGATACTTAAGAAAATGTGATATTTTGGGGCAGAAAGTTATATTTTAAGTTTTTTTCTTAATCATTATTGATATTTTTCATTAATCAGGAGGCTGGGAAAAGTTCTGTACTTCTACCAGTCCCTCAGGTTAATCAGTGGTTTTGAATGTTTAAGTAAACTGTCCAGTTTCATTTCTGTCCATCAGCTTGGGTTGAGCATGAAATCTTATCTTATATCGTCTTCCAAAAAATATTTTATTGCAGACTTTTCATACTAGTTAAGGAAGGTTAATCTGACTGTGAAACAGATCCCTGAAAGCCTGGCTGGAAAGCTGAGTTCAGCCTGACAGCTCTCCCCGCTACGCTGTGATGCCAGCTGTAAGGACAGACTGTTCATTGTCCTGCACTGTGTCACAATCTGGACATTTATGATATTTAATTTGAAAATAACAAATATCCCTGTTTTCCAGACTGATTCCCCTCTTTTCTTAAGGAATCTTCGGGATTTCTGTTTTCAAGATGCACTGGGGTTTGCTTGCCAGGCTATGGAGTGCATCTTGCCAAGACCTGAGAATTTAAGCAAGTGCACTGAAATCAAAGGGACTTCACTCTCCTGTTATTACCACAGGAGCAACAAATATCCTCTGTGTATATTTAAAATAATTCAAATTTTAATTGATTAACTATATATTAAATTTACCATTAGCTTTCTCGGTAAAGCAGAAAAAAACCTGGGAGCTGGCCAGCACCATCTGACTTGCTGAAAGGTGCACTTCAGCTTGCTTGATGTATATATATATGTGTGTGTGTGTGTGTATCTATATATAGAGATATATATATCTATGTTTTTATATATGGCTATCTTGTTGCTTGAGTTAGCATGGGGCTGGCTCACCTCCTACTACTTTGGTCCTAGAAGTCACCTCTCCCCTCTTCTCACTTCCTTTTGATACATTTTTCACTCTCCCACGTCTATAGCATTTCTTTTTAATCTCAGGAAGAACCTAGATCCATTTTACTGCTTTGATCTTACTGGAGGAGCTTGGCTGGCCACCTCTAATTAAAAAAATAAAAATCAAAACCCCCTGGTCTGCTGCATTCTGAGTTGCATTTAACAGAGAAAAAAAACAAAACAAAACAAAACAAAACAAAACCCAAACCAGTGATAGACATTACTTTGTGCACAGGGAAGAAGCTCTCTTATTTGGCTTATTTAAGAGTTACAAAAAGTGCCTCAGTTGGAAATGATGTCTGCCATTAATTAGTAACATTTGCAGTTTAGTAACCAGATTTGCTCCTGCTGTTCCACGTAAAATTACACCCAGGTGAATACATGAGTAGCCGGTACTGTGAATTGCACAGACAATTCTGCTAACTTCCAGTCTAGGGGAAGCAGCAGCTAACCTTGTCGTTTGATGCCTTTCCTCCCCAGAACGCCTGCTTCCATCTCCCCGGTGTCATAACCCTCTTAGGGCGGCCCTTGTCTAATAATCACAAATTGGTGTGATTTAATCAGACCCAAATG